CTTTCTCGCTGCAGGATGCGATTTTGGAGTGGAGACATCCAGACATTAATCAACACCTTTCAGAGTCAAGGATTCGAAAAAGACGGGTGGAATGACAACCGCTAGTTGAAGTACTTACAGGCTGATTAAAGTGCAGATATATATAGCATAATGTTCAAAAGGAAAACAACCACTTGGCCTTAACAGAAAAAAATGATTCATAAAGAAAGAAAGGGAACAACCCCGATGTGAATGATAGCATCAGCGTTCAACTCCTCTCCTTTGCAGGCTCTGGAATTAGATGTTAAACCCTAGCAGGCTAGATGAGGTTTGGAATCCTTTGTATTTGTTGCTTCAAGAGATACCATGAGGACTAGGAGGGCTGTCAAGGAAGACAGGATAGAAACAACAACTGATCGTTTCTCTTCAGTTTGCTGGTAAGGTTTCCCTGTGGAATAGTCAGGGTTGAACACGGTAGGTGGCAGAAACAGGAATATTGATTTTCAGGAGTTGGGACGCCATTATTTGTCTTGAGGGTTCTTAGCACCTTTGTGTCTTTCCTGCACCTTTTCCATACTACTTCCCCAAGGCAGTGGGTAAGATATGAGGCTTGTCTGTGGCTTCTCCTTTCCATGAAGGCTAACAGCTGAAATACCCACAGGCAGGCAACTGCAGAGATGAGGGAAGCAGAGGGTAGTGAGCTGGAGGGTTCACGCTTCTTCCCTCAGCGGAGCAATACCAGGACCCAATGTAGCCAGGTGGTGCCAAAGCTAGTGGTTTTTCTCTTTTTTTATTTTTATTGATTTCAGAGGGGAAGGGAGAAGGAGAGATAGAAACATCAATGATGAGAATCATTAATCGGCTGCCTCCTGCATGCCCCTACTGGGGATCGAGCTCACAACCTGGGCATGGGTCCTGACTGGGAATCGAACCATGAATTCCTGGTTCATAGGTGGACGCTCAATCACTGAGCCATGTCGGCTGGGCCAAAGCTAGTGGTTTTTCAAAAATGCAACCTGGGTATGTGCCCTTAGCCAGAATCGAACCTGGGACCCTTCAGTCCACAGGCCGATGCTCTATCCACTGAGGCAAACCGGCTAGGGCAAAGCTAGTGGTTTTTCAAAAGAATCTGGGTATTTTCGTGAAACTGCTTAATTCTTAAATGTTAGCTTATTTAAAAACACTCTGGGTTCACCAACATGCTTTTCCCTGGCTTGCTTTGTTAGCAGGGCACCCATTGATTGTGGTGAAGGCTGCGGGCTGCTGGCAGGCCAGCTGGGTGGTGTGCTCAGGGCTGATTCCCAATGTCCAGCCGGTGTGCACGCCCCCAGCCTTTCCACAGAGTTTGTCAGCACTCGGTTCCCTCCATCAAATCCCTTTCTGAGTAACATAGAATTGTTTCTTGTTCTTGTCACCGAACCCAACCTAGGCTGACAGATGTAAAATTGCAACTTGGAGATACAATGCCAAAAAAGACGTATTTCAAACAATTCATTTCAACAACAAAACAAAACAAAAGAGAAAATCATAGAGAACATTTATGTTTTTCATATTCAAATAAATGATAACCAGTGTCAGCATAAATAAAAGGACCAAGAATTACACCACGGCCTGGAACATGCAGAGGTAGGGCATGCACTGGGGGCTCCCACACTGGCCAGGAGGGTTGGGAGTCAGCAGGGGGCAGTGCCGGACCCTGGGAGAACCTTATAAATTCCCAAGAGTTGAATACCTTAGCCAGTGGTTCTCAACCTTCTGGCCCTTTAAAACAGTTCCTCATGTTTTTACCCCCAACCATAAAATTATTTTCGTTGCTACTTCATAACTGTAATGTTGCCACTGTTATGAATTGTAATGTAAATATCTGATATGCAGGATGGTCTTAGGCGACCCCTGTGAAAGGGTCGTTTGACTGCCAAAGGGGTTGCGACCCACAGGTTGAGAACTGCTGCCTTAGACCAACACTAGATACCTAACTACAACCACTGACACCAAAACAAACAAACACAGCCCTTTAATTTTTATGCTGAAAGTTCTAGCAAATAATTTAATAGCATACCCAATTATATGACCCTGATAATGAGAACAGAAGCAAACCGTAAGTCACCACCACGGCTTCATATGAGAATTGTTTTGACCTTGCAAAGAACTTCCTGTGACTTTTCAACCATCTTTCGAGTCTATTTACATTTGAGAGCAAGAGAACGGTGTGCAGCTGGACCATGCAGATAAAAAAACCATACCTCTTGCTTGACTAATTTACATAACAAATTCGAACAGTCAAAGTACACATTAATATAGGTATACGTCACCTTAAATTTTTCTAATCCAAGGAAGCTAACCAAATCACTTTTGCAGTTCAGGTGAGCCGAATAATTTATGATGGAGCCTTATTTGTTGGCCTTCCCACAGAGCTATCCAAACTGCAGCCCAGCTGAGATTGGTGGCTCACCTGGCGACTTGTTCCACTTCTCTAGACCTAGCCTGGCTGCCTCACCTGCTGTCACCTAACTTGTATCCAGTCAAGAGAGAAAGAAACAGCAACAAAAAAGTATTTCTACAGAAGCTCCAAGCCTTCACTTGCCAAAGGACTGAGCTATAATCTATAAATATGCATATATTAAAAATGAATCTATCAAATAGAATGAATCAAGCTGCTAGCCTGAAGGTGGAAAATGACTTACAGTGTAAGAAGCACTTTACCTGCATAACTTTGATCTTGATTCTCGAGAGCTAGATTTCAACAAGAACTTGTTCAATATTTAACAGATAATTATTGAGAGTAGGTACATAGTAGTTCCTGTCCTCAAATGAAAGCTAATTATAAAACTGTTTATGTAAAAAGAGAAAAAGTAAAATAGCTAATCCCACAGACAATGTTGTGACCTCTTTGTGAAGATATTTTCTATTCCTAGAAACAATGTTTGGGAACATTCTGTTTAACAAGGAAAAATATCTAATAAATTAGTTTCCTATGTAAGAAATCTCAGTAACTCACCTCAGTGCTCAAATTTACATTAAGTACTTGAGAGTCACTATATTAGTTTCCCATTGCTGCTGTCACAAATGATCATAAACGTAGAGGCATAAAACAATAAACATCTATTACCTTACAACGCTGGTAGTCAGACGTCCTGTGTTCCTTTGAGGAGGCTCTCAGGCAGAATCAGTTGTCTTGCCTTTTTTGGCTTCTAGATTCTGCCTGCATTCCTCATCTCATGGCCTCCTCCTCCTCCACTTCCAAAGCTAGCATTGCATTATCTTCAAAGCTTTCTCTCTCTCTGACCTCTGCTCTGGATCACATCTCCTCCTCTGACTCTCATCTTCCTTGTCTTCCTCTTTTAAGGCCCCAGTGATTACAACTGACCTATCTGAGTAATTCAGGTTACTCTTCCCACCTCAGGATCTTTAACTTAATCAAATTGGCAAAGTACTTTTGCTATATAAGGTAACATAGTCATGGGTTCGGGGGATTAGCGTGTGAACAATTTTGGGGGGCATTATTCTCTCTATCATAGTGCCTAATGTCACTCATATGAAAAGACAGTATTCAAATATCTTTGCAGCTATCTCTGCAATATTAACCAAGATTGCTTGCTTAAAAAATCCATTCATAAGAAATTACTAAAAAAAGAGAGAGAGAGAGAGAAAATAAACATGTGGGACTACATCAAACTACATCAAAAGTGTTTGCATAGTGAAAGAAGCCATCAACAAAATGAAAAGAAAACCTACTGACTGGGAGAAGATATTCCTCACTGATTCTATAAGGGGTTAATATCCCAAACAAATTAAGCAACTCATATAACTTAACAGCAAAAACCCCTCCAAATAATCAAATTAAAAAATGGGCAGATGACCTGAATAGACATTTCTCCAAAGAGGACATACAGGTGGCCAACAACATATGAAAAGATGCTCAGCATCACTAATCATCATGAAAGAAATGCAAATTAAAACCACATTGAGATATTACCTCGAACTCGTCAAAATGGCTATCATCAATAAATCAAAAAGCAGCAAGTGCTGGTAAGGATGTGAAGAAATGAGAACCCTTCTGCACTATTGGCGAGACTGTAAATTGATGTAGCTACTATGGACAACATTATGGAAGTTCTTAAAAAAACACACCAAAAATAGAACTACCATTTGACCCAGCAATTCCACTGCTAGGTAGTTATCTGAAGAAATCCAGAACACTAATTCGAAAAGACATATGCACCCCTATGTTCACTGCAGTATTATTTACAATAGCTAAGATAGGGAAGTAACCTCGCATCCATCAATAGATGAATGGATCAAGAAGATGTGGTATGTATATATGTATGTATGTATAATGGAAAATTACTCAGCCATAAAAAAATAGTATCTTGCCATCTGTGATAACATGGATGAACCTAGAGGGTATTGTGCTAAGTGAAATAAGTCAGACAGAGAAAGACAAATGCCATATGATTTCACTTACACATGGTCACCAAATGGGAGGGGATTAAGGAGGATAAGTAAAAAAGGTGAAGGGATTAAAAAGTACAAATTGGAAATTATAGAAATAGATATGGGGATGTAAAGTACAGCACAGGGAATATAGTCAATAATATTGTAATAACTATGTATGGTGCCAGATGGGTACTAGACTTACCAGAGTAATCACTTTGCAAGGTATATAAATATCTAATCGCTCTGTTGTACACCAGAAACTAATGTAATAAGGCACATTAACTGTAATTAAAAAATAAATTTAAAAATCATTAAAATAAAAATGATGAAGGATTTGTCTTCTTCCACGGAACCAAACATAATGATTAACGTAAGAAAAATCAGAGGAGTTTTTCCCTAAGGTGCATTTCTTGCCACAGTAAAAATCAAGCAACAATGTTCTCTCTCTCCTTCTTACTTACGGAGCAGGTGACAGGCACATCCTGGTTGTTAGGGACGGCATGTTCTCATTCAGAGATATTGATCTAGTTGTGATGTTGATGTGGTAACAGCCGGTGTGGCAATTTGATCGCGCCAAGTATTACCTGTTTGAATACAGCGTCGTCCTGTCGTGTGGATATTGTTCATTGACATATAAGGAAGAGGATGAAATGGTGGTCGTCAGGGAAGCAGCTTCAAACAGGGATGGCGTGCTAGGCACCAGGTCTGGCCTGTGCCGGGATCCCAGCGCTGGGAAACAAAAGCAGCACGCACATCATGAATCTCAGTAAGAAATGCAGCTCTCGTGTCTATAACCATTTAAACGAGTCAAAATCATTCATTTTACATATTAGGCTGCAACTTAAATTATGAATTAACTGAGCTCCAGTGAACTGCAGCAGAAATGTAAAATAGTTTCTTGCAAACAGGTTAAACAGGAAGGAAAATGCATTAATTTACAAAGTGGCTTATGGAAATGACATGATGAGTGCTCTTTTAAAAACCTAATAAAGTGATTTACTGTTTCAAAAGATGACATACAAAGCTCCTAGGGGCTTCAGGAGATAATTCAACAGAGATTGAAAGGATGATTGGCAAATGTATAAACACAAAGCAAACCTGATTTCCCTCCCCAGGCTATGCACGTATCTGTGATTCTCAATTTGGATCTAAGAACTGAGACTTTGTAAGAGCCAGGAAACACGTCGTACATGCTACAGCCAGCTAGTTATACTTGAACCGCGTTGGAGCCCACACATCTTTGAACACTATCCCTGGCTCTTCTTGACATCACATTTTAATAGCAAGGCTGCCTTTTTAAAAATGAGAAAATTCTTATTTCTTTTTTAATATGCAAGTATCTATGAAAATTCGTATCCAAGAGACCTCCCTCATCAGGAAAGCAGAATACTCAAGGCTGAGGAGTGACCCATGCCTACTCTCAAGATTCCATGTGGATTTTTGAATCTGCATCATTTTCTTTTTTTTTAAATTTATCTTTATTGTTGAAAGTATTACAGATGGCACCCCTTTTGTTCCTCTATGAACCCCTCCCTGCGCCTCCCCCTCCCTCCAGGCCTTCACTGCACTAGAGTCTGTGTCCACGGGTTATGCGAATATGCATATAAGTTCTTTGGTCAATTTCTTCCCACCCACCCCCGCCTCCTGCTTCCCTCTGAGATTCATCAGTCTGTTCCATGCTTCTCTGTCTCTAGATCTATTTTGTTCGCCAGTTTATTTTGTTCATTAGATTCCACATATAAGTGAGATCATTTTAAATCATCTTATCCTAAACTTTACACAACTGTACATCCATTATTGGCCAGCCTGTCAGAGACAGTCCTTTAAACAAAGGATGGCCACACAGAACAGAGCGTCTCTAAAAGGAGACCTGGGAGTGCCCAGAGAGCGAGGATAATGGGCGGACCAATCCTATTCTTAAAGTTCTGCTGTTGGGTAGTAAGTAGATATTTTATTTTTTAATTTTTATTGAGATAGAATTGACATATAACATTGCACTAACTTTAGGTGTACAGAATAATGATTTGATATATGTGCATACTGCCAAATGATTAACACAAGAAGTTTAGTTAACACCCATAGCTACAACCCATAACACATAGTTACATTTTTCTTCTTGTGATGAGAACTTCTAAGATCTACTATCTTAGCAACCTTCACATATGCAATAGAGTATTGTTAACTAGTGTCACTAGGCTTTACTGTGGATTCTTTTTAATCATTCTCCCAAACTAAACTAAAAGACAATAATAAAAACAATATAACTGGAAGGTGTTGCTGGTATTCCATTATAGGCACAACAGACTCAAAATTATGTATTTTCAGGAAGTGTGTGTGAATGGAAACTGATCCTAACAGGCACTACCACGTGAGTGTGATGTTTGGGATTTGGGATTTGAATGGGGTATAGATGGGTTGGTAAACTAAGGAGAATTCTCATGACCCTAGTTCAGCCGTGGGCAAACCACGGCCCGCGGGCCGGATCCGGCCCGTTTGAAATGAATTAAAACTAAAAAAAAAAAAGACCGTACCCTTTTATGTAATGATGTTTACTTTGAGTTTATATTAGTTCACACAAACACTCCATCCATGCTTTTGTTCCGGCCCTCCGGTCCAGTTTAAGAACCCATTGTGGCCCTCGAGTCAAAAAGTTTGCCCACCCCTGCCCTAGTTTAATTAACTTGGGACTGGGAATTCCTAACCATGCCAATGTTTAATCTTATACTCAGGTTGCTCAATTTAGGGATAAATCTAACAAAAGTTAGGCAAAGAGAAAATTATAAAATTGATTCAATTCATTAAAGAGGACCTAAATAAATTGATAACTCGTTACATTGTGATTGTATGTATATATGTATAAGTATGTGCTTGTATGCATTTTATGTGTTTGGAAAAAATATATATCCACACATAGAACAAGGTCTAGTAGTACAAACACCAAAATGTTCAGATGTGTTACCTTTAGGTAGTGGGATTATAGATCTTGTTTTTGAATATTTTACTGTCTTTTAATTTATTTATACCATATATCATATGTTGAATTGTTTATGTGTTTTAAAACATTTTATGTTAACTGTATCATACTGTAAATACCCTTTAAGATTATATAATGGACTTTGTTTTTTAGAGCAGGTATTCTGTAAGCTTCCTACTGTGCGTTTACATGTGTAAATAAAATCACAGGGATGTTTTCTTTCTTCTGCTTTAAAGTTCCGCATCTTTACCTTCTTCATCAAGGCTGCTGAAACTCTGCCCTTCTGTCAGCAAATCCCGCTTCTCATCTTTCCATTCTTGGCTGATTGAGGACACAATCTCCTGTGAGGTCGCCTTCAGGGCGGCGATGGAATTGCACCGTTTTTTAGAAGGCGAGGCCTTCAAAGCTAGACAAAGGAAAAAGGGGAGACAAATGAAGATACTTATTTTAAAGCCACATTAATATTCTACTTATTAATATTTTTATTATTAACATTTTAGTAATTATTTGAGTAGCATGCAAGAAACTTTTTGGTTTATATACATGAGGAAAGGGAAATGAAATTGTGTTTTGGCAATTTTATTTGTTCAAAATGACTTAACCTAAATCAGAATATCCTAGAATAAATTTGAGTTGAAATGTCTCCCCAGATTTTGAAATAAAAGTCTTATTTGAGGTGAAATTTAAATGTTTTGTTGCTAACTAGTTATTTTTCCTCCTCCAAGCAGTGTTTGTTTGTTTTTTTACTGCTGGGAGGAGGCTGGGTGGGTGGGTAAACGCAGATGGTAAGCTAAGGAGAATTCTCATGACCCTAGTTTTATTAACTTGGGACTGGGAATTCCTAGCCATGCCAATATTAACCTTATACTCATGTTGCCCAATTTAGCCAAGTTACTTCCGGTTGCTTTTTTCTTGCAGCAACTTTCCACTGAAATTTCCTGCCCTTTGGGTCTTTTCTAGGTCATGGTTATGTCAGATGTATAATTCACTTCTGATGTTTGTATAACAGTATTCTACAATTCCAGAAGTGTCTTGGGAACGTGAACCAAGGCAAATGTACTTCCCCATCAACCATGCTCACAAAGGCTGTGACTTTATTTCTGATACATCAGGTGGCGCTGCCTCGGCTGCAGCTGGACCATCCCCATTTATGTTCACTCTTTCTTTAAAAAAGTGTTTTTCTTGATTTTAAATAGAGAGGAAGGGAGAATGGGGGAGAGAGAGAAACATCGATCTCCTCCTACTGGGGATTGAGGCTGCAACCCAGGCATGTACCCTGACCAGGAATCAAACCGGCAACCTTTTGGTGCATGGTTTAACCCTCAACCACTGAGCCACACCGGCCAGGGTTACATTCACTCTTTGCTGCAATAATTCTTCGTGGCTTTCCATGTTATAGAATTTCCTTGGAGGTTAGGGGGAGAGGGAAGTTGAGGCTTATTTATGTTGTGCTGTCCCCTGAACTTGTTTTTGGCAGTGTCTCCTCCTTGAGGTTTGCATATAGGGGTAACTTGACAGCAGATGCATTACAGTAATTGTGTTTGGCCTTGGGAATTTCAGAGAGTAGATTACACTGCTTATCGGGGGCCTTCCCATTGGCAGCTTGCAAGAACTTAATTGGAGAAGGACTTTGGGACACACAGATGAGGGAAGCATAGAGGGCAATCTCTCCACTGAACGAGAAGGGACAGTTTATGTGTCCCATGAGGAGTCTTATCACCATTACAATATAATCACCATCATAAATAACTTTTGTAGAGGGCTTTAGAGTTTGGAAGCCAACATTCACATTCTCAAATTATCCACATGGTCGTCTAGGGAGACGGGCCCTCTTACAGGTCCAGAAACTGAGAACAGAAACATGACCTGCTTAAGGCCACCGAGCTAGAAATCATGAAACCCCAGGTGTCTTTCATTTTTACTTAAGTTATCTAATGGGGGGTTCATTTCCTAGCTCTCTTAGCATTCTATTTTCTTAAGTGAAGGCGGGGAGATAAAACTAGAGTTTGTTTTTCTTTGAGGGGAGGAGATTTTAAAAACGGATCAAAATTGATTTTCATGGTAAATAAGTGGCCCAAATAGATCACATTTTTCTTATTCTCCTCATCCTATCAAAACAGTGGTCACATTTGCTTTACAGGTCTGAAGTAATATCCCATACACTGGCTTTTGCTTTAATACTGAGTCTACGAATTTATAAAAAAAATTTTAATAAAACAATTGGCAGATGGTTTGGGTTAGCTGGTCACTTTCTTTTGTGCCACAGAAACTCCTGGATTTGTCTTTGGCTAAAAACAATATCTGGGGATAGGTATCCCATGTCCATTTCTAGCCCTACATCCTGCCACTCAACAGCCTCTACACCTACTGCTTTCTACCTCAACCTATCTGCCATTCCCTGAACCTACCCCTGGGCCTTTGTATATATGCCGTTCCTTCTCCTCGAGATGCCCTTCTTGCCTCTTTTCCTAATGAACATTTGATTGGCCTATATTTTCAGGACTTTGTTTAAAAATTCTTCTCTCTGGGAAGTTCTTTTGGAAGAACTGCTTTTATTTTTCTCTGTGTACCTATAGTAGTGTATGCAAAAACAGTATTCACCATTGTTACATTATAAATCTGTAACATGGTCCAATCCCTGACTCAAGACAGACTTTCTATATTATTAATGCTTAGCATAGTACCAGGTATGTAATAGGTGCTCAAATGTTGGATGAATGAATGTATTATTGTCCTAAAATCTTAGGACAGTTGATTTCTAACAAATTAATGTACCATTTAGTCAGTTCAAGAAACTAAGTTTTAGTACAGTTAGACATATTATCTGAGTAGAGAATTTCAGTGAGGTTTCAACATTATGGGAACTAAAATTTCCAGAATAATTTATAGGAATTTGCAGGCATTATTACATTGGCTGCATGACTCAAGTCTGGGTAAGATGAATGGATTTAAGAAGGTTAAACAGGCACTGGGTAGCTCAATTGGTTAGAGCATCTTCCCAATAGCCAAGGTTGCGGGTTCTACCTCAGGTCAGGGCACATGCAAGAATCAACCAATGAATGCTTAAATAAGTGGAACAACAAATTGATGTTTCTGCCCTAACCAGTTTGGCTCAGTGGATAGAGC